GGTGATGATCACAGGAAGAGCAGTGGAAACCTCCAGACTTAGAATGACTAACCGCAAGCCGTGCTTTCCATCATGCTCACGGGAGAGGCCACTGGGCTGAAAATAGGCTGGAAATGTCTGTGCTTTATTGAAAAGTAATCACGAGAAGGCATGGAGGAACTGTTCTCCATACTTTTCAAGTTTCTCTGTCTTGAATGATTTTCAGAATTATTTTCTGTGAATTTCTCTTAAGCGTTTCCACAGACTGTGCTTCTGGAAGGAAACTGCTCTCATCACCTTTTTGAGGTTTTTAGGTTAAAAATAAAAAGACAGACCCTTGCAGGTTGACGTGACTACTTTTATTGGCAGATATTAAGTCCTCTCTGCCCGGAAACAGGGTCAGCAGACTTCTCCTGTAAGGAACCAGAGAGTGAGTGTTTTAGGCTCTGAGGGGCTACCCAGTCCCTGTCCTGGTCCCTCACCCCACGGTGTGGCCTGTGGGCTGCGCAGGCAGTCCAGAGACGAACGAGCCCAGGTAGGCTTCAGTGAAACTTTATGGACACGGAAATGTGAATTTCACATCACTTTCCCATCATGAAATAATAGTCTTTTAAATTTTTTCCAACCACTTAAAATTGTAAAAGCCATTCTTTAGCTCATAGGCGGCACAGAAACGGGTGGTGTGTGCCATCCCTTCTTTAGAGGGAATGTTCTAGACACTTCAGAGGAGAAAGACAGACAGTGCCTGAGCTACGGAATTGGTTTTCTTGAAAGATTTTCAGATAACGTGGCGAAGCCAAGTTGTTTTATTAATCTGCCCCTCTGCTTTGCATGGTTAGAATTTTGTGGTGTGTCTGAATATTGCCAATATTTACAATGATTAGTTTCAAATGCAAGGAGACCTCTTGGCTTATGTGCCCTGGCTGTCTTGGCAGGTGATTTGGGAGTCTTTGTTTGGAGCCAGTTGGATTTCAGACATGCTTCATCCTGCCTCTAGTGTTTTTCAAAAATTGTTTCCATTTCAGTCATAGCTGTGGTGGGCTGGCTCCCTGCTCCCCAGGGTGCGTGCTGTGTGGCCTGGATGGTCCTGCTTCTCCATGTCACTCTAATTAGTGCTGGTTCTTAACTTTTCCCTCCTTTCAGTCTTGTCTTTTCTGGACATCTGGTAGTACAGTGCGTGCATTTCCTGAGTCAGATTGCTGCAGACGCATGTGGAGGACGGACAGCTTATTCAGGAGGTGATAGGCTGCTCTTCCCTTAAGATGCTGTTACGCTTTTAGGAAGATTGGAGCTCGCTTCCACCACATATCTTACAATCTCTCGTTTTTGCTTTTTTTCAGCCAAGTGTCTATTTATGAGGTGGACAAGCAAGATTGTCGCAAATTTTGCACTACTGGCATCGACGGAGCCATGACAATTTGGGATTTCAAGGTATTTTCTACCTTTCAGAACAAATCTGGTTTGTATTAAAACTCTTCCTGGGAGAAGACTTTCTCATTTCTTAGAACAACCGGTCAGATCCAGTGCACAGCACAAGTGCAGTGCATTCGGCTGCATTTCTCCTTAAAATCTGAACATTATTAGCAGGAGAAAAGCACACTCTCTCAGTGAGATGGAACACGCCCGCTGGTGGTCCATTTCCTCACTGGAGAACAGTGGGGTGCTGTTTTTGTAGCAGGCCCCGTATTGGGTACCAGTCTAGTTTACTGCATAGGTTAAACATTCCCTGACTGCCTGCCAGGTGCCAGGCACGGTGTGGCCATTGAGGACACTGAGGGGAAGGAGCCCTGAGGGGCCTCTCTGGTGGAAGAGCGGGGTGGGGCAGGGGCCGGGGTGTGGTTCCAGAGGAGAAGCCAGTGCTCTGTCTCACACTGAGGAGTCGGGGAGACGCAGGGGAGACTGTACCAGGGCTGTGAAGGCAGCACGTGCAGACCAGCCATTCGGGCAGTGGTGGCGCCTGCTGAAGCCCCAGCTGGAGCTGGAAAGGAGCCAGGGCGCGGTCAGGGCGCGGGAGCCGGGCTGTGCCCGCAGACAGACGGGCCTTTCTAGAGCCCACAGAGGAAGCACCAGACTGTGAGGTGCGGGCAGCCTGGGCCACTGTGGGCTTCCATGAACAAAGGACACAGATGTGACCTCCAGCTGTGCTGGGGGGCATGGCCAGGAAGTTCTGGACTGGAGAAGTTTGGGGGCTGAATGGACGGGCACTGTGACAGTGAGGGACAAGTCCCGGAGGACTCTGCACCCTGGCTTCAGGATTAGGCAGATGGCAGATGAGGTGGGGAACCAAGGAGGGGTGTGGGGGTCAGAGAGCCTGGCTCCTGTGTGCAGCTGTGAATGGATCCTCCAAAAGTTAACTATTTGCAGAATTTTGCCACTGCCTTGCAAAACCATGATGCTTTTTCCTCCCCCTGGGAGTCTCTCCCCCACCCTTTTTACCTTCACCTGCTTTTAGGTCCTGGGCTTTGCACACCTGTGTGACAGCTCCACCTGGGCAGTCACAGCTCCACTCTTTATTCTTTGATCCCTCCAGCCCAGTCCATTTCTCTCCCTCTACGTGTGTGAGCTAGAAGTCCCAGTGCCGTTTCCTCTGATCCATCCACCTTTGAGCCCCTGCAGTGTTGTGCGCCAGGCTGGCTGCATGTGGTTTACAGTAACATAGGAGTGCCCATCATGAAGGCATTGAGAGTGAAGGGCCGGCCATGCGCACAGATGGCCCTGGTCAGCACGGGCCAGTGTCACACATGATAATAAGCACACATGTGTCCTGAGGAACAGGAGTGTGTCCAGAGCCTGTGGGCTGGGGCCATGGGGACAAGGGAGCAAGGGCCTGAAAGAGCCAGCAGGGGGAGCCCTGTCCTGAAGAGTTGCTGGCCAGAGGCGAGAGTCGGGGAGAGTGTTTCTCAGAGGTGGGGGCCAGATTTGGGGGTCGGCTGCACCTCAGCCAGGGAGGAGGGGGAGGAGTGGGGTGTCACGGGGAAGACACCAGAGTGGACAGATCTCAGTGACGATCCGTGTTCTTTCTGCCGTTCTGCAGACCCTAGAGTCTTCTATCCAGGGCCTCCGGATAATGTGAAGCTGAGCACGCCTCCCAGACCCAGCACGACAGACGGACAGGCTGTGAGGAGCAGCTCCACCGAGTGCATGACGGGAGGAGAGCCGGCCACCAAGAAACACTGAAGACGCAGATGGCGCAAATATTGTTGTGTATTTTGTTTGAATATAATTGGTGAAAGTTGGTTTTTTAAAAGCAGCAGTGATTTGGGTTTTGTTTTTGTTTTTTTGTTTTGCTATTTCATTCCATTCTTGACCAAAGCTTCTCTTTAAGTAGTTTATTATGGAAAAGTGTCACACTAACTTAAAGGAAGGGGTGGGGGAGGTATGTGAATTGTCCGCTAAAAAATAAAAATACTGAATGTGTTTTTTGGTTTTGTCTCCTTACACTGTTTGCATTTTTAGTAGGAAAATATGGGTGAATTCTTTGTTGGGTTAGTCAGTTTTGGGGATAGAATCTTAAGAGTCTTAGTTTCTTAATCGAGCTCTCTTGTACAGCCTTTAACCAGAAGAACCGTTTCTCAAATGCTGTCTTTTAGCCTTGCAGCTCTTCTGTGGAGACAGTGCATGTCCCAGCTTGTGTACTGGCGGCAGAGAAGCCGCCTCCGCCGGCAGCCAGGCCCGGATGGAGGCCTCAGCCCAGTGCCCCAGCAGGTGGGCGCCCGCAGCGGACATGTGCGGGAAAGGGTGCGGGGGGGAGAAAAGGCACAGCCTTTTGGTTTAAAGATTATTGGACCCAAGCTAAGTTATCTTCATCATAACTGGACATGAACTTTGACATTTCAAAGCAGAAACTCTTGAGAGGTGCAAATATAGGTAAGTTGCCAGGAAAGTGGGTACAGAGCAGCCTGGAGGGTGGCCTTATTCTGGGTCTCTCAGGTCCAGGAAAGCAGGGGTCCGGACACAGCTCTAGTTTCAGGTGTAACAGCGCTTCTCAGGGAACATCATGGTGTTCTTAAAAGAGGAACTTCACCTTCTTGCTGACCCCTGGCCTCTTCCCAGTTTGCTACAGCATCCTTTCTGGACCCTCAATGGCAGGAGCTCTTCTGTATACATGTGTTTGTACCAGTGCATCGGCAAGGCGGTGGTCACAGAGCCAGGACAGACAAAAGCAGGCCAAGAAACAGGAATTAGCTGCAGATTTCTGTGCAGTTTCATGAAGTCACATGGTTTGGGGAGTAAGCCCAGAGGATTTTAGAGAAACAATGTAATCCATGAAAGAAACAATGTACTAACTTAGCCTCCAAGAACTTAGGCACAGAGTCATCTTTTTTCTTTTTTTTAACTTGGGTCAACTCACACCCACGGAAGCAGGCCCCTCCCCATCGGGGCAGCCAGAGCCCCGTGGTGCTGCACCACAGCGCCGTGGTCTGTGGGACCGTGGGAGGGCCCTTCTCCCCGCCCTGCCTGTGAGGCTCAGACCAGGCCTCGGTCTAGTGACCACCAATTTGGAGGGTTCTGGGTGACCCCTGACTATTGCAGGACACGCTGGCCAAAGCCCTTGGATCGGAGGTTTTGGTGTCAGATTATATTCTGCCCAGTTGTGTGATCTTGAGCAGTATAGTTAACATCTCTGAGCCTCGGTCTCTTCACTTGTAAAAAATGGGGGTAACAAAGGGTTAGTAAATTCTGTCACTCAGCCAAGGTTTGCTTTCAGGCTTGGCATTGCCCTGCAGTCGGCCCCGGAGACCCTTAGTAACAGTGGGGCAGGGTGGGAGTGGTGTACCAAGGAGTCTGCGGCTCTTCCCAGAATGTTATGCTGAGAAAACAGGTGAGTCTCAGAACCCAGATTAATTGCTCAGTCACGACCATTTAGCTTGGCCCAACGGTCACACAAGGGTTTTCATTCTCATGTGTGCCTGATGAAGCAGTGATGGGAAGGCCTTGTCCCCTCAGGTGCCTGCGATGGAGCTGAGGGACTAAAGCCACCCTGAACAGTGCACATCAGTGTCTAAATTGTTACAAAGCTACTAGTTGGAGTTGTGTGTGGGTGTAATTGAAGTACTAGGTGTGGTAGGTAGATCACAGGCCCCACAAAGATGTTCATATCCAATCCCCAGACCCTGTGAACTTTGTCAGTGGGATTAAGTTCAAGATCTTGAGATTGGGGGGAAGGGCAGAGCTCAGTGGTAGAGCACGTGGTTGGCATTATACAAGACTCTAGGTTCAATCCTCAGTACGTCCATTAAAATAATAAATAAACCTTATTACCTACTCCCCTTAAAAAAAATTGGATCTTGAGATTGGGGAGAGTATCCTAGATTATCCAGGTGGACCCAGTGTCATCACAGGGTCCTTACACGAGGGAGGCAGGTATGTGATGATAGAATCACAGGTCGGAGTGTGAGGAGGCCCAGGAACTCGGGTCGCCTCTTAGAGCTGGAAAAAGAACCTGGTTCTCCCCTGGAGCCTCCACGAGGAACAGCACCCTGCCACCACCAGCTGAGCCCACCGAGACCAGCTGCGGACTTCTGACCTCCAGACCATCAGGGAGGACACTTGTGTTGTCTGAAGCCACCCAGTTTGTGGTAAGTTGCTCCCACAGGAAACTACTCCACTGGGTCAATTCCGAAAACAGAAGGAAGTAGGGTCTAGAGCAGAGTTTTTCAAACTGAGGCCCAGAGCCCCTTCGTCAGTTGTAAAATCCTCACTGGCACTTGGGGAGAAAACCACATTCTGCAGTGTGTGGAGTAAGTACCACTTTATGACACTTCTGTGTCAGATCCACGTGGGGGCATGGAGAGGACACAGCATGAGCACTGTGGGTCGTGATCAAAAAAAGTCTGAAAGCCACTAGGGTGGAGCCTGTCCCCTGAGACGGGTTGCTGAGGAAGGATGTGGGGAGACAACCCGGCAGGAAGGGCCGGTGGGTGGGCACTAACTCCTCACAGACACCCTGCGCGGTTGGGACAGTTGTTGCTGCATTTTGGAGATGACAAGACTCAAGTCCAGAGAGGGAGTGACAGCCTCTGTTGGACCCAGGGTGGTCTCCCCAGAGCCCCAGCAATACCCACTCTCTGCTGGGCAGGGGCAAGACGAGAAGCCTAGCCCAGTTCTGTCACTGCGCCCAGGAGCAGGGGGGATGTCATTGGAACCAAGAGGAGGGGTCCCATCTGGCACTGCCTGTGGGGTTTCCTCATAGACCAAATTTCCCAGTTGAGTCCTGTGCCTTGGAAGTGGGTGTGACAGGCATTGGGTGGCAAGTCTTTGATATCGGGGAGAGACCCCATTTGGGGCCGGGCGCAGGCCAAGATGGCAGGAGATGATGCTGGGCACCTCTGGGGAAGGTTTTCCTCCCTAGTGTCCCACTGCCTTGACCCGCCCGCCCATTCCGAAGTCCCTATGCCTGGAGCGTGGCTGCCATCTTGTGACCAGGAGGCAGGAAGGCCAGTGCAGTGAGGAGGAAGGAGCAGAAAGCCAGAAAGGACCTCAAGGGTCCTGAGACACTGCACCAGCCCCCAGCTGCCAGCCCTCCCCAAGTCAGTCAGCCCTGAAGAGTCAGCCTGGGAGTGTGGCTGCCTTCCTGGGAATCCTGAGAAGGCAGAAAAGAAGGGACAGTGTAGCATCTTCATCCCAGGGCTGCACGGGGGAGGTACATGCCAGGAAGAAACAGCTCCCTGAGTTGTTCGGAGAATTCCAGATGAAATTCCTCCACCCCCAGGGTCTCCCCACCCAAGGACTCATTCCACTTAAGGCTTAGAAAATTGTCCCCCAAGGGAGCCATTTCAAATAACACCCCCATGGCTTCCCAGTCTGCAGTGTGCTTCCCTTCCATTGGGTCTTCCCACAATGACTGCAGGCGTGTGAGATGTTAGTTTACAGAGGCAGAAACCCAGGCGCTGCAAGGAGAGTGACCTGCCTGAAGTTACACTCCAGGATACCGGGCAGAGCCAGAGCTGGGCTCAGGTTTCTCACCTGACATGTTCCTTCCTTCCTCCTTCATTCAGCAGATACATACTGAGCTCCTCCTCCACGCCAGGCATGGCTCTAGGCCCCAGGCTGAATAATGCAAACTTGTTTTCTGCTTGCACTAAGCTTGAGTCTTCTTTTCATCAAATCAGCTCAGTTTCACAAGGAGGAAAAGGGAGTCCTCAGGTGTGCATATTTGTTAGGATGCTTTTGTGATAAGTAACAGAAAACAACTCAAACCAGTTTAAAAATTAGATTCCTTGGCTCACGTATCCAAAACCCCCGCAGGCAGGTTGGGCTCAGGCCGTCAGTCAGGCTGACCAGGGCTCTGCTCTGGTCGTTTCCTGGGCTTCCCTCCGTCACACTCCCCTGTGTCATCTGGCTTCCCTGTGGCTCTTCCACTTTCATACTGGGAATCACGCATGTCACCCAGAAGGCACTGCTTTCCCCTCCATCTTCATCAGAAGTCCTGGGCTTTCTCTGACCAGACCATCTTAGGTCACAAGTCCAGGACTGGGTAGGGGTAGGGTGGGGGGTGGGGGAACCACGAGCTGACTGGGTTAGAGCACTCAGGGGCCACCGTCAGAGGTGGGGCTCAGTCCCACCCAGGGTCACTCCCTAGGCATCTACAAAGCTGGGGAGGGTAAACGGTAGCCAGAAACACGGTCACCAAACTGTGCTTGTCCCCTTGGGAAGGAGGCTGCCAGTAGAGGCCATCTGAAACTTTTTCCTGACTAAAGCCATCCCTTGGATCTGCCCAGGCTGGATGGGGCTCGAGGGTGGGGGGGTTGGTAACAGCCCCTCAGTGTCTCCTCAGAGCCAGCAAGGCTCGGGGTCTTACTAATCAAAGCTGAAGTTTACTGAACACTGTGTGCTCACCTCAAAATGCTCCTCACCCTTGGACACATTTAATCCTCCCAACCACCCCCAGGGGTGGAATTGTGTAATAGGAGCTGGGGCTGGTGAGCACAGATCCTGTTGAGGAGGGGGTTGGGGTCAAAATGACCTAAGGGACACTCATTGATGTCCTGCAGGGTAAAAAAGCTGGCTAGGTGCAGACAGGGTGGGACAGGTGTTCCAGGCAGAAAGAACAGCATGTGTCAAAGCCCAGAAACCTGACAGCGTGGGTGCCTGGCTCCAGACCTCCTGAGACTGGTGAAGACCCCACACTCATTCGCTAATGTACTTAGTGCCTGGCTGACCAGATGAGCTGAATCCTGCGGTAAGGGGCCTGACGCATTGAGAGGGTCACCTCCATCTGCCGGGCCACCTGGCCACATCTCCATGGTTGGGGCAGGGGGCAGGGATGGAAAGACCCCTCGGGACCACCTGGCCCAAGACCCAGATTCAGGCGGCTGCAAGGTCGCCGCATAACTTAAAGGCGAGAAGCGGCCTGCGGTGGAAAGAGGCGCAGGAAGTCGGCACCGAGAAGGTGCTGGACCAGCCGGGGTCAGAGCC